ACTTGAAGACAGTGTTGTCTGTATGTGCTTTTTTTTTGTTTTTTATTTTAGCTTTTTTAGTATCAAGAGACCATCAGAAATACTGTGGTGTGTGAACCATAAATCACCCTTATTGTTCCAGGTCACCGTCTCAGAACTTCTTTGTTTATGCGATCTGAACATCGTGTGTCTTTGCTCAAGAGTCTAGCATACCTTCTCAAACTGACTGACAAATAAGTGTTTACTCATGTTTTTCTCGTTGCTGCAGTTAAACTGCTGATCCACGTTTGTTTGCATTTCATTGCAACTAAATGGCAAAAATAATTCGCTCAGTGGGAGGGGCAGTAAAACTACCTTTAAAGTGGACTCCGATTTGCTTAAACCATTCAAACCATTGCTTGAAACAGATTGTAATCAAAGTGCTTGGGATTATTAAAGTTGTCACTGATGGTTTGCATTCGCTGAGAATTATCTGTTCCGCAGCTTGGTCGCAACCATAGTTTATCTGTAAGTTAGCTTATCGCAGGAGCTCCTTTTATCTGTAACAGCTTTAATGTTCTTGTAATTAAAGTTAAATGCCAGGGTCATTTCTGCAGAGTTAGTTTGAAGACCATAATGAGTTCAAAGCCACAAGCTCAACCGCAATGAAACAATTAGAATCAGCGCGCCAAACTTCTGGTCCGTAATGGCTTTCTCCTCCTAGGCATGAGCAATCAGGACTTATCCAAGGCATGACCAACGGAGCCGGAGGGGACCAGCGTCAGCTCATGTGGGCGAGAGTCTGCAAAGCCATTCAAATTAGCTGTTCTAAAATCCACACAGCTCTTTGGGAATAAATACGATTACAGCCATTAGCTTTGGGTGCTGATCCCAGATCTGCTCTTCAGCTCTCTGGGACTTTGAAGTTTGGCCTCAGATTGCAATGCAAATTTTAGCCAAAACCACGAGACAATGAAACTAATTCCTTTCCTACAAGAGAAGAAAAAGATTTTTGAGAAACGTGGCCACATCTAAAACACTTCATCATTAGCACAGCACTGCTTTTACAACATGACTAAAATATACAAGACTTACTGCAACTGTGGTGACGACAGATAGTTATTTTTTCAGCGGGATCATGCTATGTATTGCGCAGTATTTGGAAATACATATTTGCCGTTACTATAAAATTCATTGCGCTGAATGAAAACAATCTTGGGATCACATGTTGCTTGAAGTAGAGTAAACAACATTTGAATGACAGCAGCTCCAGAGAGGGAAACCCCTGCAGCTTTCCTAAATAGTTTAGAAAAAAAAATCCAATATGTGGTGCTTCACTCAATCCAGAAAATTGTTTTCTGGTGTGATGAAGCTTTTTTTTT